ATCGCCCGCAGACTACAGTCCTCCTGACTTATGTCGCCCGCCGACTACAGTCCTTCCGACCTCCGTTTCCAACCGACTACAGTCCTCCTGACATACGTCGCCCACCGACTACAAGTCTTCCGACCTCCGTCGCCCTCCGACTACGGTCCTTCTGACCAAATGAACATGTTAACAATGACTTTTTGTATTAACATCATGTAATGTACTCCATAAGATGTACATCAAGCTAAGACCTTCCACCAAGGAAGGACCTTATTTGTAATCAACTACAATACTAGTGGATTCATTCAAATTGGGCTAGGCCCTGTGATTTTTTCCCCCTTTCAGGGGTTTTCCACGTAAAAATCTTGGTGTCTCATAAATGTTAGACCCTCTCTCTTTATCTGATTGCGTGCCGGATTTTCGTTCAACGCTAAGATGTTAAATCTTATATTTCTCTACCGCCGCGAATACTCCTGGACGCAACAATAGATATTGTCATAGCAAATCATGCTTCATATGCAATTTCAAGCTTACATTTATGCAAATATTTGAAATTTTATTAAAATTTTCAAATATGCAAATTTATGCAAATATTTGAATGTTTATATAAATGTAATAAATATATTAAAATGCATGCAACAAATTTGATATTTAACGTTACATAAAATTAACATAATCTTGAGTTGCATGATGCATGGGTCCCATATGATATCATACATGGCCTATCCAAGCAGATGGGCTTGACACGTGAGCCAATAGTGATCCTCACGCTTGCACGTGTCATGCACATGTCATGCCAACGCAAACATGACAAGCATTGCCCATCGATTAATTAATAAATATTAAATAAATTTAATTAATTACTTATTAATTTCGCATGACACAAACAATTAGCAATTATAAAATCGTTATTTCATCTTTCTTAAAACTTCATGAAAAGTGATATCTCAAATTATGATGCCACATCATACTAAAAAATTCACAATGAAAATGAAAGAAATTGTACATATCTCTTTCTCTCTCTCACTCTCTCATTGTCTCACTTCACTTCTCCACAATATTCTCTTTTAGAACTAACAAAGAGATATACTTTTACAACAAAAATGGACTCGACCCATTTAAGTTAAACATAAAAAATAAAAAAGAAAATTGCACAGCCCAACTTGTAGTGTTGCGACGCCGGAGTTTAGAGCATTTGTGGTGCTCCACACACACACTCTCTATCTAATCCAATTCGTAGTGTCGCAGCGCTGTGTTCTCAATGTTCAATTCATGATTATAGAGCTGTCACATTGTATCTTATGATACTGCAGTGTACAAGTGTATAGCGTTGCGGCGCTCTAATATATAGCGTCACAGTGTTGTACTACTATATAAAAAATGGGGCAAAATACCCTAGCCCCAATCAAGGGGAGGCCACTCGGTGAGTTTTATTGGCAAAATTGAAGTCTAAACCTAGAAATACTTTTCATAGAAGAAAAAGGAAATTTCAATGAATGAGAGGAACGACCGAGAGAGAAGGAATAGGGAGGTTCGTAAAAAATTTTCTCCCCTTTTTTATATAAATTATCTCATTCTATTTCATCTAAACCTAGAAATACTTTTCATAGAAGAAAAAGGAATTGAACACAAAGGGAAGGAATTTTAGAAAGGAAGAAGAATTTGGAGATTTCAATTTGTAAGTAATTTCTCCATAGAATGATTTTAGTTAAATTTTTGTGATTAACTTTTTTTATGAAAGTTATTGTATGAATTTAAGGTTTTAGGAAGGGAGAGATCAAGTTGTAAGAGTTGATCCCGCGATGATCCAACAATAAAGAGGGAAATTGATTCGAGATTATACTAAGCATTGAAGGCCTGAAAAGTTTAAAGTGGGTAATTATAATTATGAAATTCAATATTTTGTATTATAATATTGTTTTCAAGGTTTTATTTTTAAAGACTATCATGTGTGAAATGTTGAAAGATTAAATGCATAAATAATTGTAAATATTATTACAACAGAAAATGAAAGAATCAAACAACATGAATGAATTTATGAATATGAATAAAGCAGGATGTTATGGTACATGCATGTATGAAGGAAATATGCAAATAAAGAAACGACATATGAAATGAATAAAAATGTTCAAGATAAAAGGAAAATGATATGTATGGAAACTACAAGAGTTTACCCCTTATGTTACTGGCTGGGGACGTCATACTCATGCACGTAAAAAGAAAAAGGTCATGAAAATGGAAAAAAGAAATAAATGAAAAAGGTTGTATCTTTGGTTACATTGAGACGGTGCTCCTGTCAAATTAAATGAGAAAAGGAAATATTAAAGTTTCAAAATGATTTAAAATGTTTTAAAATAAAATGACCGTAGATGTATAAATTACTTAATGAATGAAATAAAATTAAGAAATGATATGATGCATATTAAAGAACATTTATATTGATTGTTTTAATTATTACCCGCTAAGTTTACGGTGTAAACTCGAACCCCTAAATTAATGTTTCAGATAAATCCCCAAAGAATAAGTAATGGTTGAAAGAGAAGAATTCGTATATAGAAGATGATGTGCAAATGACAATTTCTTTTTTTATTTGTTTTATTGAGTGATTTACTTCCCAACAAATCACTATAGAGGGCTGCTCTTAATTAACTTTGATGAGAAAACTAGAAATTTACTTCAAGATATTCCATTATTTTGTAATTCTTTAAATGAAGTAAAATATTTAATCATATAAAATTATTCTATGAACTAAATATTATGGTGACGGCATTCAGCTTATTACATGTTTCGCATGATCAATTGTGGTACACTCTTTCTTCAATTATTACTTTTTTTTCATAGTAACTACGAGCACAAGTCTGCACAAAGTTAATATATCAATTTTTTGGGGAGCATAACAAACTCTAAAATCTTAATTAGAAGTACTGATATGAAAAAAATTAGATAGAAAATTTTAATTTTATATTATAGTAAAGATGTTGGTATTTGCCTGACCATGCTGATGTGCATATCATATTGTGTAATAAATTATTCTGCGCGGAGATCGGACGCAAAATGTCATCCAGAGATCAATCATAATGCGTGTATGTTAGCGGTACTGAGCCGCTGTATTGAGCAGTAGCGAGGCACGGTACCGAGCATAGGGATGATGTCGCACATCTTAATTGTTTGATCTCCAGATGACGTTCGACTTCCGCACATAATAATTAATCGTTCTCAAGAGCGTAACTAAAAGAACGAGAACTTTTTTTTCCCCTCAAAAAAAAAAAAAAAAAAAAAAAAAATTTTTTTTCCCCCAAAAAAAAAAAAAAAAAAAAAAAAAAAAAAACTAAAAGAGCTACTACTTTCTTTTGTTAGGCTTCATGTTTTCTTTCATTGTAACTTAAACCATGCACGTTTAATTCTTCATCAAGCATCTTAAAACTCGATTACCATCCTTATAGGTTGTTCAATGGGTTTCTATCTTGAATCAAAAATTTTTTTTTTCTTATTCTCATAAGAAGTGTTTTATGCTCGATTCATGTTTATCTTTTTCAATATATTAACCCTGCACTCTCCATTTGTAACAAATTAGAGATAATTATCAATAAATCTTTTTGGGGTTCCAGTGCTATTTCCAAAAAAATTCATTGGGCTAAGTGGGGTAATTGCTCTGGTCCTTTCCATGAAGGTGGATTAGGTTGTGAGTCGATTCATGATTTAATCGAAGTCTTTTCGGTGAAACTTTGGTGGAAATTCAGGAAGATTGAGTCTTTGTGAGCCAACTTCATGCATCTCAAATATTATAAGGGCATTCATCCATCTCTCGTTTTTTTAAGCAACACTACAGGAAAAATGTCAAATACCGGGGTAACAAGCCGTCGGAAATGGTTTCCTACGCCATTTTTTCCGACGGTTTACAAACCGCCGTTAGACCGCCGATACCATTAAAAACCGCCGGTAAATCTAGCCTAACCGCCGGAAAAAGCCGCCGGTTTTCAGCATTTTTCCTGTAGTGCAAAGGGTACTCTCCAGCGTGGAAAAGATTATGTCAAATTAAATGGGTTGCCGAATCTATTATACAATGGGGAATTGGAACTGATTCTTCTTATTTATGGCAGGATGATTGGTTAGACACATGGTCTATTGACTCTCATCTAAATACTCATTCTATTTCCTCATTAAAAGCCTCTGAATTCATTATTGATGGTGGTTAGTCCCCTACTAGGCTTATGGAGGTTATCCCCCATACTCTTGCTGATCATCATATTTGCAAGATCCCTTTGAACCTTAATTCTAAGGATCTGATTTTTTTTGTAAGCTGTCCAAAGATGGTGATTTCAGTTGCAAAAAAGTTTGGCTTTTTTACTGTCCAATTGATATGGAGGTTACGGAAATCGTTGATGGCTGGGTGTTGCTGAGCTTTCATTCTATTGGCTCTATTGAGTTGTTGGTTTCCTTTGGTTCCCCCATTTGGAGCGGCTGGGTTACTCTATTTTCATCTTCTACAACAACTACTATTTTGCAGGTGGTTTTGACTATTTTTCCTTTGCTCCACGATAATTTTTGGGGTTGGCTCCTTGCCAGTTGCCACCCCTAGTTTTTTCTTTTTTTTTAATACTTAGGTTTCATTTTGATTTTTGTAATTAATGGAGATCGATGGCTCATAGGTTTTTTTCTTTCTTTTTTGATGTAGCTCTTTCAAGCTTAGCGAGTAATTGATCTCCTTTAAGGACTTGTAATATGTTTTTTTTTATCAACGGGTAAGCCTTCTGAAAATTTTTCTTTAAAAAAAAAAAAAGTTCATGAGCATTTGATGAATGCCCACCCAGAAATTATCATTTATGTCCAGTTGTTCGTTTGTACTTATCATCTCTAAAGAGATGCCTGCTGTGTTTCATATAGAAAAGCCAAATTTGCAAAAGCATCATTAAATGAAATAAGGTGCATCAATCTCATCATGAAATAATATATCATTTTAACCGCCAAGGTAGTGCTTTATTAATTACGTAGTGCTTTATTAATTACGCATATCATCTTCACATATTGGCACAATCCGCAGGCGCTACGGTGAGTTTCATGGCGCGGAGATCATACCCAATATGAAAATTCTGCTGTGCGATATTACCAAATATGTTAACTCCTATACCATCAATATCACTAGATATCAAAGCCAAGCACAGCGTGTTCTCTGCAACTTCCACAAACGTATTGTATTCATGCAGAACAACCGGTGCACCACCGGAGAAGTGAAATGTAATGTCAGGGAGCTTGGCGTCGCCTCCAGAGCCAGACACATCAAGGCAGAGACTGAAGACACCGTTCGGATCTGCCACCTTCGGAAAACTCACACTGCTCGCAACTTTATTTGCAACTGATTGCAGCGTCTCGTTATCAATGAAAGTGAGTGGTGTGCCGGAGTCGATGATTATGTTGCCTTGATGAGCGTTAATGGCCGCCTTCATTGACGGGTTCACAAGGACGGATCCCTGCGCACCCACGCTGATCTGGTCGAGGTGAAGGAAGTAGAAGGTGTCAGGGTTGCCTGGAATAAGCGGCGTTGAGACAGAATTAGAGCCTGAGACAAAACCACTAGAGCCAAAATTGAGTCGGCTGGTGACAGAGCTCTGGGACATAGAGGGTAGGCAGTAGGAGAATTTGCTTTCGATGGAGGACCCGAGCTGCCGGATTAGAGAGAGCTGCCCGCCACCGAGACCGACGATTCCAGAGCCATCGCTGAAGGTGCCATTGCTAAGATGGGTGCAGCCGAAGAGCGTTGAAGGTACTTGAACGCGACGTCCACCAGTCGAGTCAAAGCTCAAAGTCTCTGTGGAGAGAAAGCCATCGACGAAGGATCCGTCTCCGTAGGCGTAGTTGTACTCGCATTCGGATTTCTTGCCGCAGCTTTCCCTTGACAGGGCTGAACAGAAATCAGCTTTGCAGGAAACCACTTTGTAGGTGGAGGAGGCTTGCGGGTCGAATAGAGGGATGGTTTGTGGGTAACATTGTTCGCAAGGCTTGCATTGGATCCAAATAAGGTCGCTGCCGGTGTCTGCGATGGCTAGAACCTCCTTCGCCGGAGATCCAACGTAGAAGCTCATCAAATACTCGGAACTATTCGAGCTGATGCCGGAGTACAAGTTGTCGGAAGCAGATGGGGAAGATGCAAAAACGGAGGGGATATTTCTTTGAATGGCATTACCGAAGTAGTTGGCGCGGGAGAAAGAGCGTTCTATGGCGGCTTTGAGTCGGGAGGAAGGGGTGGAGCTGGAATCGGATAGCGGAGATCTCGGCGAGTCGCGATGAATGAGATCTACAGAAAAGCCTCCCGCGCCGTATACAGATAGAGGAAGGAAGGAAGTTGTTGAAAGAATGAGAAGAGAGATTGCAAGGGAAGAAGGGATGGAAGAAACCATGGTTGGGTTTCCAGAGATCTTCAGTCGTTTACAATGCTGGTAATTGTTGTGGAGATTTCAGCTCTATTTTATAGGACGGAGAGGATGCATGAAAATTGTTCTTCGTTCAATTTAAATATTTTTTTTTTCAAAGTTGTTTATTTATAATTTGTTATTATGAGTTGATCACGGGAAGATGATAAATTGTGAATTTTTATTAGTTTCCATAAAAATTATACTTCTTAATCTTTAAAATCATCGACTCTTGGAAATTTCTTCCATCTCATTATTGAAAGATTCTTTTTATATTTATTTTTTTATTTGTCTCTCTAAGACATATGGATCATTGGTAGCAAAGTTTTCATGATTTCGGATAATTTTTTTTTTCTGTTTTTTAAAATAAATCTTTAATTAAAAAAATCATTTTTAAAAAACAGTAAGAAAATATGTTAGCCACAATCTTCCACTATAATTTTCAAAGTTATCTTCCCAGCTCTTTCTCAACTGAGTTTCTTTGGAGTCGGCCTCTTTTTTGTAATTTTATTTTTAATATTGTTTTTTATTACTACGGATTTATTATCATATTTAAGTTATTTACTTTTATTTATTTATTTTTAATTAAGTTAGACTATTTCATCAAACATCATAAAAAAAAAAAAAAAATCAGCTTTTGAATTATTCTTCATCCTCATGCAGCTCACAAGCGTCGGCTTTGGTCCTATGAAAAAAATTTCATGGCACTTAAATATAATTGTAGAATTGTTGAAGCTAAAACAAACAAGCTTTATCTCTTCTCGTTTTTAAAAAAGTTTATAATGATTTCATTTATCTATTTATGTATGTTTATATCTATCATAAAAAATTTTATATTTATTTATAATTAACATTTTAACATCTAAATATCATCAAAATGTCATATATGAAAAGATGATTTATTTTAGATAAATTAGTCTTAATAATATTTTTTATATGTATTTGAATACCCCATAATGATTATATTTCATATATTAGAATATAATATAATATCAATTTTGATGTAACTAATAAATTCTGAAAAATAAGATACGAAGGAGATTGAAATTTGATGGTAAGCATTTGAGGCTGACATATAAGATTTCATTTAGGATGATTTTTTAATTATTTTTTGAAACAATATTTTAGTAAAAAAAATAATTTAATATATTTTTTAAATAAAAATTTATTTTAAAAATAGTAATCAAATCATCTCAAACGAAACCTAAATTGGGCTAAGCAGGGTCTGCGATCCAAACTGCACTCTCAATGGAATATCGTAAGGGAAATAGTCCCGCTGGCCCTGTATGCAATGAAATTTTTTTTGGGACATTTAGGCCATTTAAGGCAAACTCACACACACAACGCATACACATAGACTCGAACCTTGAACCTCTTAGTTGGAAGCCTAAGCTCTCAACCAATAGGCCAAGGAGAGTTATGTTTAATGTATTTACATATTCAGATATCCATCAAAACTATTCACCTAACGAACTCCATAACATGCTCAGTATACTCGCCAGGACTTCATAAAGTCATAAATCATTATACAACCACTATGCACTCATTACATACTCATTACATGTCTTTTATCTATGCATCTTGGCTAAAATAATCATATAGAGAGAGAAACTCCCGTTAAAGAGAGAAACTCCTGAAAATTCAAATTTTCTCGTTCCCGGAATTCGTTCCTGTTTATCAGGAATAGGTGGGGACGATGGCGGCGGAGTGCTGCCGGCATGCACAGGCCCCGGTGACAAGGTCGCTGTCTTTTGTAGGTAATTTGAAGTTAGATTTGAAAGGTAATGGTTCGCTATTTTTGAAATCCAAACAGAGTTCTAAGAACCAGTTGTTAAAATAGCAAGGTCCCTTGGTGATCAAAGAGGTTTCAGATGTAGTGCCCAAGATGAACAAGCATTTGGAGGGCAAAGGTAAAGCAATTGTTGAATCTGGGGTTAATGTTACTCCTAGAATTGAGAAAGTTTTCTCTTCCTTAAACTCGATTGATCCAACTGTGTCGTCATCAAGAATGAAAAATTTTGTTAACAGATTTAGGAATTCAAATGCAACCCCTGGACACAGTGTGATAAATTTGAATTCACCGAATTTGGTTAATAATAATATTCATTCTTTGGTGAGCGAGTGTAATGCATCGAGTGTGGCTAAGGTGTCTAATGAGATGCTGAATACTACTGTTAGTATGGGTAATATTAATCCTTGGAGTAACAAGCCTTATATCAAACTTGATTTCAAAGAAGAAGAAGTGTTTTTTGTCAGAAGATGGTAAGGTTGTGAGGTTGAATAAGGAACTAGAAATTTTGAATTGAACGAAGCTGTTGAATTCGTTGGTAATAAAGGTGTTTGGAAAAGAATTGCCATCCCATTTGGTAGTTTGGGAAATAAGGAGGCAATGGAGACATTTTGGGTAATTTCACTTTACCTCTCTAAGCAGGGGATGGTTTTTATGTTCTTTTAAAATTGGAAGAGATGGAGGAAGTAGTTCTTTCAGGCGGTCCATGAGTTGTTAATGAGCATATAGTAGGGATGGAGAGATGGATTGTTGAGTTTTCTTCTTTATCCATGAAGGGGCTAACCTCTCCAATTTGGGTTAGAATTCCACATTTGTCATTGCAATGTTGGGATGAAGTAAATGTGGCAAGAATTGCTTCAAGGATTGGTAAACCATTAATGATGGATGGGACTATGTTCCAATGGGGGAGGAGGGAATTTGCAAGAGTATGTGTAAGGGTGAAGCTCGATCAACCTCTTCCGTTGGGGGTATGGGTGGATAGAATTTCTGGAAGGTTTTTCCAAAATGTGGAGTATGAAAAGGTATCTAACTTTTGTTTTGAGTGTGGGATGATCGGGCATGTGAAGAGTGAATGTGTCCAAAAAGAACCTATTCCTACGGAGGTGAAGGCTACTATTTATAAGAGTAATGGGGGAGCTGAAGTGAATAGAGACTGTAGAGATTTGATTGAGGCATTGATTTTGAGCTTTACGGATTTCTTTATTGATTCGACAGATGATATAGATTTATATTGATTGAATAGATGATATAGATTCGATGAATTGATTAGACGACACGGTTGATTGACCTGATAGTATAGATAGTATAGATTGATAGACATTACTACGTTGATTGGACATTGACTAGGAGCACTTATTGATTTGATTGCTGAGACGTATTGATTTATCGATGTTTTTACTGCTGATTTGATTTCCGTTGTATAGACTTGATTTCATTGACGACGGATTTCCGCATTGCATAGACTCATTGACCATTGATTGACTTGATTTTATTGACCTGCATATTGATAGCATCGCCGTGCTTTGATTTCAGTTGTAGGCTTTGGTGACCTGCTGGGCTTTGTAAGCTCATTATATGTGGTTTAAATTTTCAGGTCCGAGCAAGGCAACTGGAATGGAGTTCGATCAGAATGTCAGACGAATCCTTTCACTATTTGATTCTGGGGCATCACAGTTGTGTTGCAATGAAATTGCCTAACGATACTAACGAGTAACGCCTGAGCAGCTTGTCAATTTGTCTTATCAACAACTCTCTAATGGGAGGAGTTGTCCTATTGGGAAGTAAAACGAAAAAAAAAAAAACAGCGAAAATGAATGCCAAAATTTTGAGTGAAAAAAAATTAAAATCAGGAAAAAAAAATATGGAGTTACATCATACTAAAAAACTCACAATGAAAATAAAAGAAATTGGATAAATCTCTTTCTCTCCCTCACTCTCTCATAGTCTCACTTCACTTCTTCACAACGTTTTCTTATAGAACTAACAAATAGATATACTTTTACAACATAAATGTGCTCGACCCTTTTAAATTAAACATAAAAAATGAAAAAGAAAACTACACAGGCTGACTTGTCCTGTTGCAACGCCGGAGTTTAGAGCATTGTGGTGCTCCACTCTCTGTCTCTAATCGAATTTGTAGTGCCGTAGCGCTGTGTTCTCGGTCTTCAATTCAAGATTATAGAGCTGTCGCACTGCATCTTACGATACTGCACCATACAAGTGCATAGCGTTGCAGTACTCTAATGTATAGCTTCACAGCATTGTACTACTATAAGAAAAAAAAAATATGGGGGCAAAATACTCGAGCCCCAATCAGGGGAGGCTCCTCGGCAAGCTCAATTGGCAAAATTGAGGTCTAAGTCAACAGTACAACTCAATTGATCGACACAATCAAATTCTACACATAACTCTCCTACAATTCGATCTATATTACATATTTATCTATAATATGTTTCTGAAATAAAAAAGCAGAATTGTGAAGGAAATGATCTTTCAAATAACCTATTGGAATGCAGCTTTTCACAGCAGTTTTAAAATTGTTGGGAAATGTTTTAAACTTTTAGTGATTTCAACGACTCCTACAATACACGAGTTAGAACTGTCGTCGCCTAACATAGCTACAATACTATTGCGTTGTGATGGCTTTTAACTGTTGCAAAATTTATATATATAAATATTAAAATGATGTCATGCTCATATTAAAATTTTCTGTATGTTTTTTTTTTTTTTTTTCAGAATTTGTTTTAAATGATGTCATGTATTTTTCTATTTTGTTTACGTGTGGTGTGTTGAATTTTCTATGTAAAATTCTCTTTCCCAGAAAATTTTCTAAGCATCACAGCATAAGATTTTAAGAGCGATATCTCCCTGATATATTTATTTAATATGAGCAACAATTCGTTCAACACAATGATTTAATAAATTAATCTTCTACTCTAAATAGATGAGGAGAGAAAATAACTCTAAGAGCTAAACAGCTCTAATACCTAAAAACAATGAAAATACTATTTCAATTCCAAAAATTTCATTCATACTTCCTTCTTACATGTTCTGCATCAAAAACCAATAACACAAATGAGCACAATATTATTTTCAAACTATTAGTAACGAATATATAAATTTAACACAAACATAATAATTAAATGTGATTTAAAAGGCTTCGTTTGGGGAAGCTTTCTTAATGCTTTCTAATATAAAA